TCCTCCCCCTCTCCCATGTCCCCCCGGAACTGTCAGTCCCGTTGTTTTCTCCTCCAGATTGTTCATCCAGCCTGTCCTATCCAGACAGGCCTACTGCAGTGTTTTAAGGCTCTGTGAAGCACATAAAAAAATATAACATTAGATTTAGTTTTGCTAAGAATTCTTCAAAATAATCGGATACTCTTCCATAAGAATACTTGGTCAACAGTTGGTAGAAGAGGGCTTGAGGGAGAAAAAACAATAGTAGAAGTATATGGAGTCCCCTAACATTGGGAAATGTGAAATTATTGCCAGCAGGAAAGATGTAGAGTAAAATTGGTAAGAAGCTAGACACATAGCACACTAATGAAGACTGAAGCAATTTGCAGAGCTGTGTTTCTGAGAGATAATGCTGAAGTCCATGGAAATACATAGGCAGTAGCCCAAACAGAGCCACGGGTCAGAGGCTCTTGAATTGTTAAAGCAAAGAACAATAAGGTAATTTTTTTCTAACAGTAACATTACTGCTCAGCTGTGGGGAATATAAAGAGTATTGGACTTGCAAACTGTCTAGAGGCTGCATTGTTAACTAGTCAATAATCTCCAATAAATTATAAAGCATATCCTAGGCTATGGGGTGATTAAAATTACCAAAGATGAAAAATAAAGAAGTAAAATTACAAAAGATAGGAGCAGTTACCCCTGATATTTTAGATAGATTAAAAAAAAAAAAAGATATTAAACCAGGTGGTTTTGAAAACCATAGACTTTGTTATTAAGTGCTGTACAGTTGGCTCTTATTCATATCATCCTTCTTCTACTGCCATCAAGTTGATGTCAACTCATAGTGACCCCATAGGACAGGTTAGAACTGCCTCTTTGAGTTTCTAGGACTATAACTGTTTACAGGACCGGGAAGCCCTGTCCCTCTCCAGCAGAGTAGCTGGTAGTATTGAACTGTGGACCTTGTGAATTGCAGCCCAATACATAAACCCGTATGCCACCGAGACTCCTCATATCACCCTATGTACAACTAAAAACTGCCTGTATTGCACCCCCCCCCCCATAACTGCTGTTATGTTTGAACCGACTGTTGCAGTCAATGTGAGAATCCATTTCATTGAAGGTCTTCCTCTTTTCACTGACTCCAATTTACCAAGCATGATGGTCCTCTAGTGTAACATGTCTAAAGTACATGAAATGAACTTGAATCCCAAGTAAAATGAAATCCTTGACAACCTCAATATTTTTTCTCTCGCATGATATTGTTTACTGGTCCAGTTGTGAGGATTTTGTTTTTCTTTTTTTGTTTTCTTTCTTTTTTTTTTTATTTTAAGATTTTGTTTTTCTTACATTGACTTGTAATCCATTCTAAAGACTTTAACCTAGAGGAAAGCTTACTGTCACTGTGATAACAGCCATGTCCAGGGAAATCTGTTTTCCTTTCTTTGTCAGTTCAGACCCCACCTACAGTGAAGACATTTCTCCCTTATCACCACTCACTCCAGGTTGGGTCACTGAACCCTGGTCTTATATTTTAAGTCTGGCAATGCAGTGAGAGGACTCTCAAACTGCATGGAAAGGGCTACTTTTACTCTAGAAGGAAAAAATATCCATTCACAAAGGGAGGTTTGAAACCAGACTTTATCCCCCAATCCAAAAGTTTATGCAGCCTCCAAAAGTTTATTGGCCTCATGGGACTCCTGAAGCTTAGTCAGCTTTGCGCCCCCAAGTGATTCCTCTTGATCTAGTCAGCCCCTATTCATTGGCTTCATATGTGGTCTAGCTCTTAGGAACCAAGACCAAAAGCCAAATTGTTTCCTGGAAAGTGGTTCCACACCTTGCAGACATTTTCTATAAAACAGTCATTAAAAATGGCCATTGCATTTACTTCACATTTCAATATGTCTTGACTTAATTTTTCTCCTTTGTGAAGTATCTGCCTACAGTACAATACTAGGGAGTATTTCAAGTTGTATGCTGCTATGAGGCACTTTTGTAGTTGTTGTTAAGTGTCATCAAGTCTGTTCTGACTCATTAGTGAACAAAACACTCCCTGGTCCTGCACCATCCTTACAATTGTGGCTATGGTCGAGCCTATTGTAGTCACGATGTCAATCCATCACCTTGAGACCTTCTTCTTTTTTACTGCCCCTCTTCTTTACCAAACATGATACATGATGTCCTTCTTCAAGGACGGGTCTCTTCTGACAACATATCCAAAGTATGTAAGACAATTCCTCTCTAAGCTGGCTGCAGCTCTTCCAAGAGAGCTCAGTTTGTTCTTTTAGTAGTTCATGGTACTTTCAATATTCTTCTCTCTAGCACCACAGGTCAAATGCATTGATTCTTCTTTGGTCTTTAT